GAGAGAGAGAGAGAGAGAGAGAGAGAGAGAGAGAGTGCCATTTTGGGGGATTTACATATTTTGATAAGGAATCTTATTATTGTTGATGCGAAGATTGATAAATAATAATGTTGATGTTATTAATAATAATGTTGAAATATCTATCGAGGTGAGCCCCCCCCTCGCTAATCACGGGGGGCTTCGCCCCCCGCGTCTGTTCACGTGCGATAGCACTACTTCACAGAATAATGTCTTTTTTTATTTTCGAAGGGTTTTTTTAACCTAAAAATAAAATGATTAATTATTATGACCCATTATGCTAATTAATAATTAATAATCAACCTCCAATAAATGTCAATTCAATAATTTAAATTGACACGAATACAAACGATTTTTGTCAATTTTAGATGAAATCTAGATAAAATTTTCCAGCAAAATGTTAAAATAACCCCGAGAAAACTCATTGCTTTCTTTTTCGTGAACAATTATCAATCTTGTCTCCATACATCTAATTTTCTAGTAACATGTCTTGGAACTCTCCAACTTGGCTTGCGCATTGGTGAGACATCGACCGCGTCCGTTATTCCGGAAAAGTGGTAGGAGGGAGGGGGTCAAAAAGAAAGCGCATTCTTCAATGTCAGGAAAAATAAATGGCAAGGGGAAACGTATCTTGCTCTCGGTGGCAGGCACCTACCCGCTAACACAGACGCGTGCATAAGTGCAAAAAGCACAGTATTTTTCATCTATTTAGCATCATTATGCTAACTCACTGGATACATTAATCTCAATGTGCTCTAGGAGGTGGGGTAGCTGAACAACTTGATGGAATGTTGGTAATTCAATGAAAAAGTGGACTTCAGTGAATTGGAATTTGATTGGGTGATTCAATTGCCGGAGAGTTGTTTCCCAAACATATTCAAATTCATTGAACATGGGAAATAATTATGCGACATGCATCTGAGACACGGAGAGCTGGTCGTGCTGACACAACATTTCGGGGGTTTCGGTGATGAAGTTTAGTCCGGTGTACGCTCCTGTTTACTCGTCAAATACGACTCAACTTTGAGGGGACATAACCCGGGGTGGGGGGAGTACACGGGAGGGAAAGGAATTCAATCCATCGAGAATTCATTTTCATTCAGTTTTACTGATGCAATTCGCTTGAAAATTAAATAGAATGGGATAAATTTGGAAGAATGCGTTTTTAAACGTTTTTTCTGGTAAATCAATAATGCAAGTGGCCAGTTTTCAATGAATATCTCGGAATCTGAGGGAGATAGCGAAATTTTTGAGAGGACCTTTTTTGGAGAGCGAAGTGAGGGCTACAAAAAAGGTCATGACGAAAATTTCGGTATCTCCCTTAGATTCGGAGGTATTCCTCGAAAATCCAGATGAGAACTAAGTTGAACCGTTTTATTGTTTACTGAATAGAAATTAATAAGTAAATATTTATTGCATATATGCGAATTACAATTGAAATACAATACCCTTTCTCAACATAATTATTTTCACAAAACCAAAAAAAAGAAGCAGAGAGGAAAAACAATAAAAATCATCGAAATTATCTAAACTTCTTTACTATTTCGATAGAACGGTTTAAAATTTTGATAATCTTACGAATCTTCTAATCTCAGTTTCTAATTTTTTAGATTTTTAAAAAGCTTTCCAAACTTTGAACAATAAAATGAGACTTGAGATCGAGTGGAGCTCGAATGAATAGGAATATAAATAAATAAAAGAATGAAGAAATGAATGAATAAATAAATAACGGGAAAAATTGAAACAAAAAACGTTCAAAGCTCTTGGATATCCTTCATGTTTTTACACTGAGGTTTTATTTACCTCACTCCGTGCTGATCCCCACTAAATGCAAAGGAAACCTGTCCGCCAAGCCCAAAATTACTGGATAACACGGATCATGAAGGAGGCTTCAGTTGTCGTCATTACAGAACCACGTTGTAATTCTAAATTAACGACAGAGTGGGAATAGCGTGTCACTCGCAGAGATAAATTACACTCGGGTGAGGCTGCTCTGGTAATCGCAGTGATCTGTCAAGTGCACTGTAATCATTTGACTCAAGATCACTTTTTCCCCCCTCGAACAAAAAATGAGATCACTGAGGATAATGTTCCATAAAGTAACGCGGATAAATAAAAAAAATTACAGTTCCCCTCTCCAAAAAAAAAAAATAAAATAAAAACAAAACACGAAAAAATATTCTCCATAATATGCTGTAGTTGAAATATTTTACGGACCAATTACGAGTGGAAAAATCCGCGGCAAATCATAAGAATGAAAAGCCCAACAATGCAAATCTTTCGGTGAATGGAATTGTAGAAATTGTACGTCGGAAAGATGCAGAAGTGGTGCCTGTTGCAGACGAGAAAAAGCGAGAGCCCATAAAGCTCTCGACCCTGGGTCGTTTACACAAGGGCTCCCAAAAGAGGAAACTGAAAAACGGGTGGAGAAGAATGCTAGCTATAGTCGGAGGAATTTCTTTTATTTTATTTTATTTTTTTAACCGAAGTGACTCTGTTAGTGCCAGCAAACTCTAGTGTACGGAAAATGGTTGTGTCGTCTCCTTCCTTCTGTTTGCTGGCCGAGGAAATTAACAAAATAATTCACGTAGCGAGACTGTTGAGAGGTTGGGGAGAGAATGAGAAACCCCTTCGCCGTTGAGACTCTACAGGGCTTTTCAAATCCCCTTCCTTTTATAGCTCCCTCAATGGTAATTTACACGCCTTACCCCGAGGTATTTTCGTATTAGAGTTATGTACCTCGTTTGGATGAATTTAGTTTCATTAATTTGTGATTAAGTGGAGGAGGATGGCGCTTTTATTATGCAATATGCAGATATTTCGGTGGGTAGATGGTCAAGGAATCGCGAGTGAGGGTTGACGATAGTTGGACGGTTTGGCTCAGTGGTAGCGTGTCTAACTGCTGCGCGGGAGGTTGCGGGTTCGATCCCCGCTTAGGGTGATTTTTTTCACAAAAATGTATCTCATGGATTTCAATCGGTAACAAGAAATTCTGTACTATCGGCGGTACCTGTAATGTTGGGACTTAGACTGGCCCAAAAGGGGGGGGGAGCGGTCCCACGATAGCCGGTCCCAAATGGGTCCCAATGGTTACCTGACCCATTGGTCGGGTGAATCTGACGACGGGCCCATTTCAACCCAACGCTTGAAACTTCGGCTTTTCAATTTAAACTCGACAAAATTAACGAGTGTCTTCACGAAATTACTCAGCCACTAATTAAAGTATTATTACTCCGAAAATTTCATCACTTACGCCTCAGAATAATTGAAGGTACGTCTTTGTACTTTATTAACAATTACCAATTCATGTCATGCACCGAGTGAAGGGAAGACTACGACATAGACGACCAAGGCGTAGTTAACGACCCAGTGAGCGCCACTTAACAACTAATTAATTTAATTGCCAGGAGCAATAGCTCACCAGATGCATCCCAGTGGCCTATCGTTATTCAACATTCATTATTATATTTTTTTTCGTTACAACATTGTTCATGATTTTACTCGCCATTTGTCCTACGTAAAATTGGAGTTGGAATGGAACTGGGATAATTGCCTCAGCGTGTATTTCAACCTGTCATGAAAATATTTCTATGTTTATCCACCTCATCCTCAAAACAGTTTCAGTTGCTGGAGGATAGCTAACAATTTGCATCTTTCATGTCTATTTATTCGCGTGAATTTGTATTCATTGCGTCAGTTGCTGAGTTATGCAAAATTGTTTGGAAGAAAGAGAGAGAGAAAGAAAGTCTGTCTGGAAATTGTAGCAATTTTACTCGGGAATTGAAGAAAACAGTTTTTGCGAGAAACTGAAAATTCAACTATTCCGTTTTTATTGAAAAATTGTGAATTGACAAAGACGAGTATTTTGAGAAAAGAAATTATAAAAAATAATATCTCAACAAAAATG